AAATAATAAATTTAAAATATAAATATTATCAATTTAATTTATTTTTAAGTAAAAAATAATTTTATTATAAAATTATTAAAAATAATCATTATTAAATCTAAAAAGTATACTATTATATATTTTTTTATTAAAATATAACACTAAAAATTAATATCAAATCATAATACTAAACAAAATTATCATCAATATATATATATTAGAGTTTTATATAATTTTTAATGAAGATATTTGAGTTTTTTTGTCAAAACGCCGGAAATCGCTACCAAAACGCAAGTTAGAAACTGCGATTAGAAAACACAAGTTTGGCAGCGGTTGCGGGTGATTGCGGTTCAACCAATCAGTTTTTCAATCGCCTATAACCGCCGAAAATCGCAACTGTTCTGTTTGCGGGTAGCGGCAGTGCAACCAGTCGCCCCCTAAAAAATTTTCTTTAAAGCGGTAGATTTGACTATTTATATGTTGTCGTAGAAATGATTTAACACTACGAATCCGTTGTGGAATTTTGGGGTCCTAAATTTAATAATAATGCAAACTCGAAGTAGTGGTTTAGTTTTTGACCGACGAACGCATGCATGGTCGTTGAGCAAACAAAACCGAATCTAGAAATGTGCAGAAGAGTCTTTGCCTTGTTGAACTAACTCGGTCTCCGTTCGCTGATTTGGCAGTAAAAGAGACATTAGAAGTTGAACTGACAAATGGATTATCTCATGGATCTTGTCCCTATATAAACTCGGTACCAGCCACAAGACAAAAGGCATCAACACAATCTTGATACATTAATTGCCCTCTTCATTCTTCTCTCTTTCCCCTAACACAAATGGCCTCTTCCAAGCTCTTCTCCTTTGTTTTCTTCGCCGCTCTCTCCTTCTCTTGTATGATAGACTGTGGTCTAGCTGCCTCCTCCAGCAGCAGCCGCAGCCATTACCTCAGATGCCCCCGCTGCCACAGATTCCTAATATGCCTAACCCTACCATGGGACTGCCTCCATTGCCATCTTCACTCCCACAGATTCCTAATATGCCTACCATCCCTACAACAATGGGATTGCCTCCATTGCCATCTTCACTTCCACAACCTACACTTCCTTCTCTCCCGACCATTCCAACCGCTCTGCCTCCGCTTCCAAAGGTGACTTTGCCCCCTTTCCCGACCACAACGCCTTCTCTTCCTACTAATTTCCCTTCCATCCCCTTCCTCTCCCCACCTCCTTCAACCTCCACGTCTAGTCCTTGAGAGTCATTGTCTTCTTTGTTGCATCTTTCTATGTATATTCACCCATATTTGTTTACGTTGAAGTTGTCGTTTGGTTTGCTATTCGGATATTACACACACACGGCGCTTTGCTTGGGTTTTCTTTGGTTTCCCTTATACCCTTTTGTTATTAATGATGTATTGAAGAATTGTTTCCGTTAAAAAATCCAACCAGTTATTCTAAGGTTCTGTCTTGGTTTTTTGCAAGTTCATATGATTTGTTGTCAGCCTTTGTTATACGACAAAATTCTTAATTAAATTATTCTCTTTTTAAGTTGCATACACTTAATTATATTTGATGTTAGGAAAAGGAAATATATATATTTAAACCCTCAAATTACCTTACCCTGCCATTAAATCTGTATCTGAAACGATTAGGATTATAAGTGATAATAATATAAACAATCGATTATTGTTATTAAAGAATTACAATTGAGAATTCTTGAAAATAAGTATACACAGTGATATTCACCGTGTATCTTTACTTCAACTGGAAACTAACACGACTAGTAAACGATATAAAATGAAAAGTTGATAAGCTCTCTTGTCCTTCTTCACGCCGAATCGTGGATTCGAAAGCTTGATCCTTTCTCTCAGGATGAACATCGGGATCGGTACATCGCTCGGCGACGGAGAACGGTTTGTCGTAACCGAACCAGCAAACAACTCCAAGTTTCTCTTCTTCTTCTTCATCGTATCCTCCTCACTTGGAACAAGAGCTTCTTGAACGGCGTCGGCAGTTGGATTAGAGTTTGTTGTAACCGAACTAGCCGAGTTTCTCTCCTTCTTCGTCTTCTCCTCCTCCTCAATTGGAACAGGAGTTGCTTGAACGACGTCGTCGGAAGTTGGATTAGGGTTTGTTGTGACCGAATTAGCAAATAACTCCGAGTTTCCCTTCTTCTTCGTCGTTTCCTCCTCACTTGGAACAGGAGGATCCTGAACGATGTCGGAAGTTGGATTAAGGTTTGTTGTGACCGAACCAGCAATCAATTCCGAGTTTCTCTTCTTCGTCTTCATCTTCTTCTCACTTGGAACGACGTCGGGAGTTGGATTAGGGTTTGAACGGGACAATTTTGGATGTCGGGATGCAACTGAAGATGCATCGGGTCTCGGTCTCGAGAAACGGCGATGATGATCAAAGGAGATATCTTCATGGACATGGACGAAGGAATCTCGAAACATGAGGCGAAAACCAAAGGAGCATGGGACGAGGTAGGCGTCGCGGACGAGGAAAGTATGCGTGATAGCCATCGCCTTCATCATATCCGATGACGAAATCTTGCTTCTGCTTCTGCTGTTGGGTGAGTGAGAAATTGAGCGAGGCATTGCAGGTGGAGGGGTGTGGGTATTTTATATGCGTTTTCTTCTTCATCCCTTCTTCCGCACGGAATGGACATGAACCGACGCGTATACGTCAATTTCCTTTTCTGAAATTCTATCAGAACGATTATAGATATGTTTCATTTTTCTAACGACCAATAGAATCAGTGGACTGTAGGTTTCCATAAAATATGGGATCTAGAATCTCCTCTCCTGAATGGATTTTTTTCCTTTTCTTAAGAAATGGTAACAAGAACTTAAGAAGGTGGGATTGGATTTGTGACCATTTTCCTTTCTCATAGAACTGAATTTCCATACAAATTATAAGTTTATTTATTTAAAAAAAAATTGGCACACTCCCCATTGTCACAATTATCTGCCGTGTTGCAAAGATTTAGAATCTTAATTCGATATAACCCATCAAATCTTACTCGTAAGTGAACGTTTATTTAATCTAACAAAAAAGCATTTCCCTTTTTTTGTTGTTAAAAAAAAAAGCTAAGGGAAACCTAAAAGGCGACCGACTCTGTCTGGTAGAGTGGAGGGGACAACTCCGATCACAAAGCCTTGGTTTCTCCGTCTTTGTTGGAGACTTTCAAGCGTTCTTCGATCCACGTCTTTCCAAATTCCCCCTTTTTTTAATTCCGTAATAAAAGCTGAAGCTTTTAATCACAAGCTCTCACCTTTTCTCAGATGAGGCCTCTTTGGATCCAATCTCCTCCGTTCCAGATTCGTAATTTCCAGACCCACCACGTTTCCTTTATAGAGCTCTCTAATGGCGGCCGTTTCCGGACACTTGATTGTCTCCAAGGTTCCTACATGTTCCACATCAGTCGCTCACTCGCAAAATCAAGCGGTGTGTCTGGATTTTCTGTCTCGTTCCTCTCAATTTGGACACGATTCGATTTCTGGGTTTGCTCATTCGTTTCTTTTTTCTGCAGATATTTGGTTCCGAGGTGAAATTGAGGGAAACTGAAAAAACCCAGTTGATATGTTCAGCCCTTTTCAGGCAATTTACGGGTCTGATGAACTTTTCTTGTCGGATTCTTGTAAGAATCTGAAGTTTTTATCTGTTTCTGATCGTCGGAACAGGGAACAAAGAGTTTGTCACCTGAGTAGCGATTCTGTTATGGTTTCAGAAATTCGTTCAATTTTGGATGTTGCTTCTGTGATGTTTAAATTGTTACTTTGTGAATTTGGAGCTTGGTGGTGCAACCAGCTATTATTCATTTCGAAAGTACCATTACCCTATACTGCAAATGGTCACGTGCATGAATTATATATGAGATTAATCGTCTCTATTTGAGCTTATTTTTACGTTACATGGTGAGGTTGATACAACAGTAACATAGTAAGGAAATGTGGAAGGGAAAACAATCCCAAGCATCGTGTGCGTTTATTCATAATGTAGAAAAAAGCAAAGCATACGAACAAACTTCAGAGTAAAACATTCTCCATAAACGATGATGGAGTCCCTCACGGACTGTACGTGGATGCCGAAGGCGGCGGGGAGATTATCGGAACGGAGGGGAAACCAATAGGAAGAGAAGGTATTTTAGCTGGGAGCAGAGGCAAATTCACCTTTGGAAGCGGAGGCAGAGCAGTTGGAATGGTCGGGAGAGTAGAAGGTGTCGGTTGAGGAAGTGAAGATGGCAATGGAGGCAATCCCGTTGTAGGGATAGTAGGCATATATATATTAGGAATCTGCGGAAGTGAAGAAGGCAAAGGAGACAGTACTATGGTAGGGTTAGGCATATTAGGAATCTGTGGAAAAAGTGGCATTTGAGGTAATGGTTGCGGCGGCGGCTGCTGCTGGAGGAGGTGGCGGGCGGCTACACCACTGCGGACCATACAAGAGAAAGAGAGAGCGACGAAGAGAACAAAGGAGAAGAGCTTGAAAGAGGTGGTAGCCATTTGTGATAGTCGAAAGGATGCGTATCCGAGTTTGTGTTGGATTCTTCGTCTAGAGGGTGATGGAGAGAAGGGATGTGGTATGGTGTTTATATAGGCACAAGATCCATGAGGTTACTCAACTGTTAGTTCAACTTGTATTGTCTCTTTTTTCAGACAAATCAGCTGATGAAACCTAAGTTAGTTTAACAAAGACGAAACCTCTCAGTTTGTTTTCTTCTCACTGTTTACATCTTTTCTTGTCAAAGTGCCTAAAAGCTTCTGTCTTTAGTTTCATCTCTACCGTCCGATTGAAGGATCACTCACTTTATGTACCTAAACAATCCTTTGAATTAATACAAAATAATTTTTGTGGCTCCCTGAGGCATTGCTTAATTAGCTGTTTGTGAAATTATTAAAAAAAAAATTATATTCTTAGAAATTTGATTTTGACATTAAAATTCTTGTGTATATACGAATATTTGAAAATCCGGTATTTTTACCTGTCAACTAGTATATTATAGCATACAGTACATTTACTTGTATTCATTTAAAAAAAAAAGTGGAATATACAACCCCGGGGGCATGGCAATGGTTTTAATATTTATTCAAGGCTTAAAACATTGAGTTTCTTTTTTGGTGAAAATTAAAACATTGAGTTCACTCCATAATTACAATTTTTTTTTTATGAAAAAAGTTTATTTAAAAACATATCGTGCAATATTATATCCCATGGGTAAATATTGATTATTTAATTCAAATTTGTACGTAATTTATGTATTTTTTTTTTCACAACACGTAATTTATGTATTTAGAAGGACGATAATTTATGCTCCAAAAAAAAAGACACAATGACCATAGTATATGTATTTGTTATAAAAAAAAAGGAAAAATTCCATAAAAATATCTTAATTTGTCAAAATATGTCATATAAATACCCCCATTTTAAAATTATCAATAAATACCTCAACTTATCAATTTATGCAAAATAAGTAAATAAGTACCAAATAGATAACGGCGTTAAGCATCCGTTTAATTTGGCATACGTGGCTTCTAAATTTAAAAATAAAATAAATTGGCACGTGGAAACCATCTAGGATTAGATTCCGGTTTAATAACTAATTTAAGTAAACCAAAGTTATTGCTAAACCGGAACTCAAAAAACCCACCTAAATAAAGAAAACCTAAAAGTCGCTAAAATTTTCTTCAATCTCCATCGTGCCCTAAATTCCGTTTTCTCTATCAGTTCATCTGCATACTCACTGATCATGTCATCTGCTGCATAATCCTCCTGCAAAAACCCAGATCGAGAAATAAAGCTTTTCTTCTTTATTCATCAGAAACATGGAGATTTCCGGCGGTACGACGTTGCTGACGTCATCGCCAACTTCTCCCGACGGCGGCAACGCGGCCTCTGCGTTCTAAGCGGCACCGGTTCCGCCGCTAACGTCACCGTCCGTCATCCCACCGCCCCCGGAGGCGTCGTCGTCCTCCACGGCCGCTTCGACATCCTATCCCTCACCATGGCCACGAAGCAAAGAAGAAAGGCACGAAGAAAAGAAAGAAAGCCATGGATCGTGTTACTTTGTTTCTCGATCTGATTCTGGGTTTTGGGGGACATTTTGGGGATTTCTAGCCTTTTTTTTATTTGGTTTAGTTTTTTGAGTTCCGGTTTAGCAATAACTTCGATTTACTTGAATTAGTTATTAAACCGGAATTCAATCCTAGTGGCCTTCAAATGGCAATTTATTTTTAAATTCAGAAGCCGCGTAAACCAAATTAAACGGATGTTTAACGTAGTTATCTATTTGGTACTTATTTTGGTGACAAATTGAGTTATTTATTTGGCAATTATAAAATTAAGGTATTTATAAAGTTTTATAACGTACAAATGTAATAATATAATGATAACGATCATTTAATACGTAAAATGATAGTACAACAAGAACTCAAAGTGGTGCAAAGCAAATCCAAAATACATTCAAATGATACAAAGCAAACCCAAAATATATCAATGACAAAAGGGTACAAGGGAGCAAATACGGGTGAATATACATAGAAAGATGCAACAAAGAAGACAATGACTCTCAAGGACTAGACGTGGAGGTTGAAGGAGGTGGGGAGAGGAAGGGGATGGAAGGGAAATTAGTAGGAAGAGAAGGCATTGTGGTCGGGAAAGGAGGCAAAGTCACCTTTGGAAGCGGAGGCAGAGCGGTTGGAATGGTCGGGAGAGAAGGTTGGGCGGTGGGAAGAGTTGGAAGTGAAGGTTGTGGCAGCGAAGATGGCAAGGGGGGCAATCCCGTTGTAGGGATAGTAGGCATCTTAGGAATCTGTGGGAATGAAGATGGCAAAGGGGGCAGTCCCATTGTAGGGTTTGGAATCTGCGGCAGTGGTGGCATCTGAGGTAATGGTTGAGGCAGCTGTTGTTGGAGGAGATGGCGGGCGGCTAGACCACTGTCGATCATGCAAGAGAAGGAGAGAGCAGCGACGGAGAGGACAATGGAGAAGAGATTGCAAGAGGAAGCCATTGCTGTTAATTTCTATTGGATTCTCTGTCTTGTGGGTGATGGAGAAGCAAATGGCATGCTATAGAGTTTATATAGTGACATACGACTTGGTCGGTTCGGTTTCCTCGTTTGTTAGTTCAACTTCTAATGCAGTGTCTCGTTTACAGCCAAATCAACGAACGGAAGCTAAGTTAGTTCAGCGATGCAAAGACTCTTCTGCACATTTTCTCAATTTCGGTTTTGTTTGCTCAACGAATGCATGCGTTCGTCGACCAAAAACTCAACCACTACTTTGGGTTTGCATTATTATTAAATTTAGGACCCCAAAACCCCATTAACCTAAAAACAGAGGACACTTGCAAAAACCTCTACGCCTTATTGAGAGTTTTTACAGCTTTGAATCAAATCCTTGCCGGGAAAGGGCAAATACAGACAAAATCTCTTCATGTTTCTGAATTTTGTTGGGTCTTTGCCTCAGCTTATGCATATCTTGCCAAGAAGAACTTCCCATTGCAAGAAACCGATCTCTTCATCTTCTTCTCTGCGCTTTCTCGCTCTCCTGAATCCAATTCCATCCCTTTCGATTCGTATGAAACGGCCTCGCTGATCCTTAGAGCCGACAAAGAATCCAGAGACACCGATCTTCTCACCCGTTGCATCTCATCCTCTTCGACTTCGACAATAACCTCACCATCTCCATGATCATGTTCTTCACTTTCTTGCTCATTTCTATCCCTTTCTTCATCGTTTTCCTCTGGAATCATCTCGAGAATCTCGTCCGGGTTCGCCCCAGAAGACGAATTCTCGGCGTTGACTACGACTGGAGCTCGACAGAGAGGGCAGCTGACGTGTGATCTAAGCCATGTGTCGATACAAGGGACATGGAAAGCGTGGTTACACTTGGGTAATAACCTAAGGGCCTCGTCTTCTTGATACTCGCTCAGACAAACGGAACAGTCTGTTCCGTCGGCAAGACCCTCCCCTTTCTTGTACTTGAACGCCGTGATCGAATCGATAACCGACGGCTGCAACCCAACTGTCCTAATATACCAGATCGGATGGTCAACCGCGGGTCCGTGAACTTCGTCAAGAGACTCACCTCGTGTCTCCTCGTCCGTTCTTGATCTCGATCTCGATCTCGTTCTCGTCCTTGATCTTGATCCTGACTTGAAGAAGATGGTCACGAGACAAGCTACGAGGATGGCAGAGACGATGGCCGAGGCGGATATGACAGACAGCTTTTTCGGGTTCTTGTGGCCATGGTAAGTGGCCGGAGGTGGAGAAAGATCGACGACTCCGAACCTGCAGATGTCGGGACAGGCTGTGAGACAGGCTATTCGGCAAACTCCAGAGTACTCGTTCGACTCGTCGCAATCTGGTTTACAGATCGAATCTTTTAACGATTCGTCGGTCGGATCTTCAGAAAGAAACCTCATGCTGTTGGGTTTTTGGGAGTTCTTGACTCGAAGAACATCAGAGGAGGAGGAGAAGCAGGGGAAGGTGAGGGTCTTCGGCGTTTGTTAGTGCCCTGTGATTACTTTTATTATTATTATTATTATTATTTTTCTTTATCGTTAAGTTGGTCAACAAAAAAAAAAAAGTTTCTTAAAGACAAATTTTCAAGTCCACTGGAAAACAACTTGGATATTTCAAGTGTGATGAGAAAAATCAAACTCATTTAATGCTATCTATTATCTAACTGTATTTGAACCAATTTGATATAAAAATTTTAAATATCTTTTTTAATAATGAAAAATTGAAAATGAAATTCTATAAAATATAAATATTTTTAACAGAAAACTAAAATCGAATACAATTGAATCAAAATTTAATATCAAAATAGAATGATATAGATCTTACAAAATAAAGATATAAATAAACGGACTAAAAATGATAGAAATTTAAAATTAAAGCATATAAATTAGTTTTGTCTAAACAAAGATACTTATTGTACGTGGTGTGAAATTAAAGCATATAAGATAATACGTGTTTACGTTTATTTTGTTTCCGTGATGTGAATTGAAAACCAGCTTAATTTATTTATTTCTTTTGGGCCAGCTGTTGACTTTTTCTAAGTGAAGCATGTGGCTCAATTTTTCTATCTTATATTAATATGACAACCAAGTTGCGACCAGAGATGGACCCCACATGCCCTCAACATAATTTGAGGTTGTTTTTGTTCTCTTGTAGATATATAGATATATCTATATTATAGGCACGTATTGTGACTATTTTAATACGCTTTTGCCTCTGTCCTATAAGCAACATCGTATCGCACAACAAGCAACAGCATAGAACCTTTCTTGAACAAATCGACCATCTTCTTGTTTTTATGCAATAAAAAGAAAGAAACCAACCGTCTATTAATGAAATCAACTATATATATTGATTTAACTTGAAGAAATGAACCTCCATCAACATATATATATATAGATATATACATACATGCATGCACACAACAGGGAGATAAAGTTACTGTTGGGCCCGCTCGGCCCAGCGGCCCGTTTTGGCGGAAAAGGAACTCGGCCCGTTCGAGTAAAACGCAGCGCTTCATCCCGAGAGTTAATGAAACCCTAAGGGGTTTCGGGACTTCGACACGAGAGAGGCGCGGTGCTCGAGGTGGAGAGGAGAAAGGCGATCGCAGAGGCGATCGTGGGAAGGAGAGGAAGATCGCGACGGAGGAAGAGTTTCCCGGCGATGGAGAAGCTTCTGACCGGTGGCGGTCACAAAGGTGAGTCGCGGAGTAGGTCGGTAAGTGTCTCGTACCCTGTCTCTTGGCGTTTCCCGGTGAGCCTCCGACCTTGTGTGGAGAGCCACCGTGTGTTATCCCTTCTCTGTTGTTTCTTTCCGTTCTAGTGGATTCGCCGGCACCGTCCGGCCGAGATGTAGGCCCGAGCTTGCTCGGTAACCGAACTCGTTAAAATCGCTGTCTCTTCTTTCGGTTCTTGCACGAACGAGTGACGGAGAGATCGGAGAGGGTTCGATACCACCTTCACAGTTACATTTTTCAAAAACAAAGAGAAAGTAAACGGAAAGCACCATTGTTCCTTGGCGTGTTCAATCTCCTTCATCAGGCGTTTCTACACGTAAAAAAAGCCTTCATCTTCCTTCACCACGCAAAAATATAAATATTTGGGTATATATATCTTCATTCATATACAAAGTTTTTGCATGTGTCATCTTTCATCTTTCTAACCAGACAAAAAGGAAATCGATCGGTCGATGTGTATGGTCGTCAAAATGCGCACAGGAGGCTCTTCCGTTTGGATGCAGAGCCTCGTCGATGTGTTCCGAATGTACAGAATCAGGACGACGAGAGATATTAACTCGTTTCAGCGATTCTCTCCGACAATTCATCGGTTTGGCGGAAGAGATTATTCTCAGACGGGCCAAGGTTTGAAGTTGATTAGCTCGGTTAATGCCGGAAACAACATCAGTCATGGTCCGAACGACCCTATGTCACAACCTTCTACTCCAAAAACCGGGTTTAATTTCCCTATTTGGTACTCTCTCTCTCTCTCTCTCTCTCAGAGTATAAATTCTTCATAATGAGTGATGAGCATATGGTTGAATGTTATTTTGGCTCAACTCCTATGGTCTAAAAGATTGCGTAACCCTGATTTTCCGGACCAATATGAATGAAAATTTGTATGACTATATGCGTTTAGGGTAATGAATTTTATAACCTTTGTTCTACGATTTTACAACTTGGAATGAGCAGGGCAAGATGGGTTCTAGGTTCAGTTTTGTCGGTATTGTTTCCCTTTTGGAGCAAGAAGATGCAGACGCTGAAACGGATTGAAGGTAAATATATACGTATTCTCACGAATATCGATTTCCATTTTCTTCGGCCCGTTTCTCATTTTGGAGGTGAATTAAGGCCGGTTTAGACTGGTTTAGGTCTAATGTTAGGGTCTGTTCGTCCAATTAGGCTATAATTAGACCGTAGAGGTCAATTGGGTCCGGGATTAGGTAAGATCAGATTCGTTTTAGGCTAATAGAGGTCTGTTTAGGATCTGATTTATCTGGTTAGGGCTGTTATTGGTCGGGTTAGGATCTGATTTTGGGTTTTAGGACTAGATTGGGTCAGTTTAGGGTCTGGAGTGTGTAATTAGGACTAGAACTAACTGGTTTAGGGTTAGGTTGGTCCATATTAGGTCTGCTAATTGGACGAACAGACCCTAACATTAGACCTAAACCAGTCTAAACCGGCCTTAATTCACCTCCAATCAGACCCTATTGGTCTGAACCGAACAATTCTAGCCCTTCCCAGACAAATCAGACCCTAACCAAGACTTAAACCCGCCTAAACTAGTCTGAATTGCCCTAAACCGGACTCAATTGACCTAAACCGGACCTGAATTGACCTAAACCGGACTCAATTGTCCTAAACCGGACCTAGATTGACCTGAACCGGTCTAAATTGGTCCAATTGACCCCAAACCGGACCTGAACCGGTCCGATTTGACCTAAACCGGTCAACTGTTGACCAAATTG